TTAAATTGTTTTGTAACCTCGGAAATCTTTTTTGGGTGGTGCTAGAAAGATAACCAATGGAGACACTGCGGACGGCAGCCAGATGGTTGGTGGAGAGCGAGTCGTGGGTTCGAAACTAGCTTTTGGAACCGAGAATGGATCCAACGGAAGAAATAGTTAAAGATAGGATAAGAGATATTAGAAAAGATACAGAAATAACAAAAAGATAGATGGGTAAAATTACCAAAGATAAGAGAAGGATAGAAACAGGGCGCCACTCAATTTTTTGGGGTTAAGGAGAAAATTAAGAAAACCTTAGTAAAGAAAAGAGGATAAGAAAGATATTTAGGTTCAGAGATCAAACCCAAGGAAAGATACCAACAGTAAATTATCAAATAAATCTGGTCAACGCAATATATAAACAAATAATAAATATATTAAGTATTACACTTACTTACTACGAAACTTAATCAGCCTGATCTTTCTACAGTTCAAAAGCATAGTAATATTTAAAGATAGTAATTGTTCAGAGCTATTATTTTTATCAGGGAACTTGTTAGGAGCTGACAAATAAAATACATGCATAAAACAATAACAATATATTAAACACAAAATTATGATGCTGCTAAATGCAACCCAGGTAATAAAAATACACAACTATGAAATGGTGTTATATATGTATAAAATTAAGCTATAATGTAATAAAAAAAATACCTTTACCAAGATGTATAAGGCAATCATATACAAATATAGTTTGGCGTATCTCGAGATATCATAGGAAAGATAATGAACAAAAATTATAGGAAATACAATTGAGAGCAAAAATTACTTAACTCTAAATTTACAAAAAAAAAACAAAAAGGTTACAAGAATGAAAACATAAACCAAACCGCACTTGGTCTAAGTCAATTAACTATCTCGCACTATTATTTAATAAAAAACTGAGGACTTGTATGTTCATAGGTAATATTTATAGAAATTTCTTGAATGGTTCAATTACATTCAAAAATCGGCAATCTTCAGGTGAAGATTTAGATGATACGTCCAGATAATGGCAGGTGATATGGTACCAACCATATTACTCGCCCAGATAGTTGTAGATAAAATATTGACGAAGGCAGCTTAATTCACTGAATTTAATACTTTTCTGGTACTAAACACTGAATTTAATAACCATTAAAGGTAGTGTAGAACTATATATAATTTAATATAGTCTAAGGAAAGAAAACTCAAATATAAAGTGTATACACACTTAGAAAATAATTCACAAAGACGATACGATAAGAAATAAAGTGAGCAAAACGTAACACGAGATATTGGCCTTAACTCAACAACGGCCCACCAACAAGTAACACGAGATATCACCTCACTCAACAAGAGCCCACCGAGAAGTAAATTGGTTCCACTAAAATCGTCACCAACTGTCCAAGAAAAAAGAAGAAGAAGCTATATCCCCACTTAAAATCATCGGACAGTCGTATGTATTTCTCAGAAGATAAGGCCTTAACGAATATTGGAAACTTTGAGGTTAAAATAATCGGTATTAACAATTGGACATAAGAAACAGACAATACTTGGGATTAAGTTATTGTCAAAAGAAACGGGCCTTCGACGAAAATTACCAATTTATGAAAAGGAAACTGCATACCAAAACGCATTATACTCTTTCCATAATGAATATTATGACGGAAGGATTAAAAACCAATTCCTAATTAGGGAATTCCATTTTAGCTGGGTATCTACAATATTTTGCCATCGATACACGATCATAGGCGTATCGCACGGGGGTAAAAGGAATTAGAAATATTTAATATATTAATAATAAAAAAAATGTTACAGTTTGATAGATGATAAATTAATATTTATTTACTCTCTGCTTTTGTATAAGAAATATTATAACTTACAATACTTTAGTACGTGACGGGTGATTTTCAGGTGTGGCTGCTCGTGCGGAAATTGAAACATAAGAGAGATTTTTGTGTGCAATCTTTCGCAGAGTCAAATTTTGGACAGTGCAGTGTTGCATCGAGGGAAAAGACGTAGGAGCGCGGTTGCAGGTTTGGATTAAGTTCGAACAAGGGTGGAAGGTTTTTTTCTTGGTATTTTAGATTGCTTTCAGAACGCTGATTTATTTGGGTTTAGTTGCTGGATAATAGTTTAGTCATCCTATGTTTTATAGATTACCAGAAAGCATTCGATTGTGTTAATCATTCAGAATTAGTAAGATTGTTCCAGGTACGTTCGATAGATTAGAATAACCTTAAAATCATAAAGAACCTTTATATGAATTAAGTGCCATATGTGAGAGTAGGACTAGAATCTACATCATATTTCTCAATCGAAAAAGGTGTACGACAGGGTTGTGTTCTTCACCCTCCTTTTTAATCTTTACTCTGAAACGATTTTCGATAGAGCCTTAGTGACACTGAAGATGGAATCAAAATTAAACGGACAGATTATTAGTAATCTTCGCTATGCCTGATCATTACAGTCATAATAGCTGATAGCCAAGAAGCGCTAACAACGACTAATATATAGAATAAACACTGAAGGAGAACGACATGGGCTTGAAGATTAATATAGTCAAGACGAAGGTAATGGTGGTTAGTACAAACACGAAATTGTATTTGAATATAATAGTACACAACAAGAACATCCAAAAGGTCCCCAAGTTCAGATATCTCGGGTAGTTGGATAACTGAAGATCTAGATCCAGACATAGGAGATACGTAGCAGGATTGAGCAAGCCAGAACAGCATTTACTAATATAAGAACCTTGCTAAGCAACAGCAGCCTCAACTTAACGATCCGATATCGCTTTGTAAAATGTTACATCATACTCCATACTGCTGTATGGTGTGGAAACCTGGACCAATAAAGGCCAAAGTGATGAACCGATTGGAGGCCTTTGAAATGTGGATATTAGGGTACTAATTAAAATTCCCTGGACAGATCACACAACAAATGTCGAAGTAATAAATCGAATGCCAGTAGAACGAAAATTGCTGCCAATAATAAAAAGAAGAAAAAACTGCTTATCTGGGTCATATAATTTTGAAATTCCAAGTACCAGTTCTTAAAACTTATTATGGAAGGGAATTTTAGAAGGAAAAACAGGCATCGGAAGAGAAAAAAATACTCATGGCCTTAAGAAACAAGGGATTGTACAAATCTCGATGCCCATGCACTTTTTAGAGCCACACAAAATCGAGAGGAGTATGCCAGAATTGTCGCCAATATCCACTAATTGGGATAGGGCACCATAAGAAGAAGTTGCTGGGTAAAGTTGTCTCAATTTTTCGTTTCGATGTTCATCTAATTGTTTTTTGACTTCCCTTTTTAGTTCATTAGCAATTTTTGTCCCTCTGGGTTTCTTGTTATTGGCCCTTCCTTTCCTGTTTTTTTTTCTTTATTAGTTATTTCAACTCTTTGCTGATTTCTCTGTATTTTCCCCCAACTGTTGGTGTAGCAACACCAAAAGGTAAAGGTTAGCTTAGAACAAGCTCAGCGGTGACCAACAGGGTCCCAGAGTAATTTAAAAGTGATTTAGAAGTGATCTTTTCTTTCAATGATCTAGCTACAAGCAAAATTCATAACGCAGACGAATCAGAGCTTTTTTGGAAATGTTTTTTAACGTTTTTTTTGCAAGTAAAAGTAAAGCGAGGAGCCATAAACTCAGCAAAAAAACGTATGTCCTGCAGTAGCTCTACAAAGAATCAGGAAGGGAACTTCTTCTTTCAGTAAACCTGTCCGACTATCGAACGTTGGTGATCAGATTTGCAATAATAACTTTGTTTACTGCAACTAGAAACAGATAAGCGGAGGCCCCTTTATACCACTCTTGGAAATTTCGAAGCCAGGATATTCATTTTTCCTGGCTCTACAAGGGAAATCATTTATCATCCAGCCCTTTGCGTCCACCTCTTTACATAGGCCTCCCTCATTTTTTGTCCATTGTGCTCTGTCTTGAGCACTTTATTCATCCAGTTTTCTTGACATGTTCTTGAGATCGATCTGTCCAACGTATATGGGGTCTTCCTCTACTCTTTTGTCCAACCTCGGCCTGCACTCAAGCAATCTCTTTGTCCACCTTTCATCACTAATTCGGGGCGACGTGTGCGGCGCCAGGTTCCATTTTAGTGTGGACAATTCGGGGAAAATTACATCGGTAACTCCTGTTCTTCGTCTTAAGTCTTCATTTCTAACTCGGTCACGAAGCGATATATGCTATACATTGATCTTTCCATTTTCCTCTGAGCTATTTGCAGCGTTTTAGAGCTTTATTAGCTGCCAATGTCAATAGTTTTGGCACCATAGATTATCACACCCAACACACATTGGTCAAATGATTTACGTTTTTAAAGAAATCGGTATATCGTTTTTTAAGATGTGCTTTGAGTTTTTCCATGAGGCTGCCCATGCTAAGTTTATTCTTCTTCGTAGTTCGTCATGTTTGGTTGCCTCTTGTGATTTTTATTTCGTGTCCAAGGTATATGTATTTTTCCACCAGCTCTACTTCGTTATCTCCAATATTGATATTTCCGCTTAGGTACTAGGTTTGTTGATTACTTACCTGATGATTACTTCGACTAAAAGAAAGCGTTGGGCGATATAAAAAATATTTTAAGAGTGGTTTGAAGTTAATTTTATACCAGAACTCAAAAAACTTTTAAAAGCAAACAATTTGCACAAAAACTGAAATTTAGTTCCAGAATCATTGTTTAATGTCTCGAGTTGGTCCTCAGAATACTGTTCATTGTTATTTATCATTTATTATGTGTTGCTTTTACAGTATCTTCTATATATGTATGTCTATCTCTTTCTCCAAGTTCGTCAGTGTTTAGCTCTGTATTGTATAATTTTTTCTTACGATTTTTTTCGATGCAACAAAAATATTGTTTATTGTATTAAAAGTCTATATTTTAAATATTTTGAAAATTAAAAACCTTATAGCAAATCTTGAAATATGTTTATACAATGCACAACAAATGTCTCACATAAAATCATGAAAAATCTTTTAGTGTTCCTGATTTAAAATGAACTACTATTCAAACATTTTCCAACCTTACGATTTACCCCACAATTTCCCCCTTCAACGACTAAAGTACCCCGAAGTGAGTGACTATCATAAAACGGTTTCGAAAAGTAAAACTGAAGTGAATTCTGAAGTGTTAACGTCGAGAATTAAGGACACAAACGCCGGTAGGAAACGAAGGAACATTCAAGCAGATGTGTTTTTAAGGAACTTGGAAAAACAGGACAAATCGCCGATGTCAGACACTTCTTCTAACAGCAGCCGGAGATCCATAGATGACTCCAAAAATATGAGGTAAAAGTTTAAGGTTTTTGACAAATTTATTTTGATTTTGCTCCACAATAACTATATTGATGAAAATCATTGTATTTTAGTTTTAATTTTGCAATTAATATAAACGACTAATTAGTAGTGATCGATACAACAAGTGGCATAGGGGAGAGTGGAGGAATATCGATCACTTGAGGGCTGTTAAAAATTTCAAGTAGTAATATTTTTATTAAGATGACCAACACGGGATATGTGCTTTTTTTACTATATCCATTATGATTTTTTTCAATTGGTTTTCTTCTTTTTCACGTGCGATCTCCGCGATGGAGGTTGGCAATTATCATGGCTATTCTGATCTTAGATGGTGCTGCTCTGAATAGTTCAATTGATGTGCATCCGTACCATTCCCTCCTGGTTACGCAACCATGAGATTCTTCTTGCTTCCTACACTTCTCTTGCCCTGGATTTTCCCTTGTATAATCAATTGAAGTCGGTTGTATCTCTCATTACGCATAACATGCCCCAGGTATTGCAGCTTTCGTGTCTTGATGGTTTCCAATACTTCCATTCTTTTGTGATTCTTCTCATGACTTCGTTGTTTGTTACATGCTCGGTCCATGATATCTGTCAGGATTCTTCTGTATACCCACATTTCAAATGCTTCCAACTTTTTAGCAGTCGACACGTTAAGTGTCCATGCTTCCATCCCATAAAGCAGAGTCGAGAAAATATAACACCTTGTCAGCCTAACTATCAAGTCCAATTTTAGTTCTCTTGCACAAAGTAGCTTTCTCATTTATTGAAGTTTGTCCGTGCTTTCTCTATTCGAACTTTGATTGCTTTGGAGTAATCGTTTGTGTGATTAATTATTGTGCCAAGATAGTGGTAATTTTCAACTTGTTCTAAAGCACTACCGTTAATTGTCAGGCTTTCACCACTATTTTGGGTTTTTGATATCATTGTAAATTTGATTTTCTTGGTGTTTATTGATAATCCATATTCTTCTCCATACTCAACTATCTTGTCCATTAGCTTTTGGAGGTCTTGGAGGTGTCTGCTATTATGATAGTATCGTCCGCATATCTAATGTTGTTAAATGGTGTTCCATTGACCTTGATTCCTGCTGTTTCTCCCTCAAGAGCTCTTTTCATATTTCTTCAGAGTATGCATTGAATAGTAGTGGTGACAGTACACACCCTTGTCACACTCCTCTTTTTAACTTCGAACTCTTCTGATGTGTGGTTCATTAATGCGTACGTGTGCCTGCTGTTTATAATATAGATTTGTTATAATTCGAAGGTCATTTGTGTTGTAGTTGTTTTGCTTTGAGGATGTCCATTAGCTCTTTGTGGCAGACTTTGTCGAAAGCTTTGTTGTTAGTCTATGAAACATACGTACATATCTTGGTTCACATTCAAGCATCTCTGGATTAGTATATTGAATGCAAAGAGAGCTTACACGGGTACCTACGCCATTACGGAATCAAAATTGAGTTTATTCAATATCCATATCAAGGGTTTTGTAAATGCGTTTATGAATGATCTTTAAAAACAATTTAAGTGTGTGAGACATCAGGCTTATGGTACGGTGGTCGGTGCATTCTCTAGCATTTTTTCCTTTTTTGGGAGACAAATGAATGTTGAGGTCAACCATTCGTTGGGTATGTCACCCGATTCATAAATTTTATTAAAAAGCTTTAATAGGACATCAATGTACTTCATTTTCTATTATTTAAGGGAAATCAATAGGCAGTTGATCTGACCCCGGGCTTTTTCCGTTTCTGGTGTTCTTTAGTGCAATACAGTATATAAATGTCTACAATTGTTTCTATGTCCTTAAAGACAAGCCTTGTAGGTTTCCTCTTTCGTCGTCGAAGAGCTCTTCCATATACTCTTCCCATCGTTTTCGTTTTTCGTCCGTCGTTTATCATAGTATTTCCATTTTTTCCATCTAAAGAGTTGTGTTGTGGTTTCTTTTTTGCAACCCTGCCATTTCTTTTACCTTTTTATGTATGTTGAATAGGTCGTTTTTGTTCTGAAGATCCTCTATCTCTTTACATTTTTCCTCATAGTAAGTTTGTTTTGTCTCTCTTATCTTTTTTCTGATTTCATTGGTAATGATTTTGTAATTGTGACTGTATTTGTTCTTGGCTTGTCTTCGTTGTTCCATTATGCCGAGTATCTCGCCGGTCATCCAATTGTCTTTCTTTCGTGTCGGTTCTTTTAATATCTCCTTGCATGGTGCGAGGAGGCAGTTTCCCATTGTTCGTTTATCTCGTAAGTGTTAGTATCTAATTTATCAAAGTTTTCGTATATTTTCTATTGAAGTTTGATTTTTATATCATCTTCTTTCAGTTTTCTAACATCTAATATTCGAGTTCTTTGTGGTTTTCTAATACGTTTAAGCTTAAGCGTGACATTAGCGATTAGTGGGTTATGGTCTGATGCAACATCTGCTCCTGGATATGTTTTGAACTGATTTGATTGTTAAAATTTTGCAATTGGTTTTGCAAACAAACAAATATATTTTTTTATAACGTACTTTTTTAGAAAGAGGAAAAAATCGGATAATTACGACCGGTAGGATAACATCGATCATGATGTAGGGCAAAATCAACCAAGCACACAGGATATTTAGAAATATAAATAGAAATATAAATATAGAAATATAAAAATAATTTAATTTTAATATTTGAACAATATTTTACAGTAAGCATGAGTTACAAATATACACTGAAGCTTTTTCAGCGCTAATACAGTCATCATGGGCCCAAGTTGTTTTTCCCTACAGGGAAACAGTTCAACTGCAGTTTTCCTTTATTTGCCACTTTTCTTGTAAACTTTTGTAATTTTTCATAATTTTTTCATTTTTTGGTTTTTAATTTCGAGCCCTGCTTTTAATGGAGTAGATGTTAATATTTGCAAATTTTGTCCTTTTCGCTGTAAAGTTCGAAGTTGAAAGACTGGAACTGGACATAAATCTTAGAATGATGTATTTTCCGTTTTTTCCTAATGTTTAGGGTTTTTATCTTCATCGTCGCTACCAAGTTGTATTCAGCAACTTTTTCCCAACTAAATTCAGAATCGGACGAATTTGATGCACATCTATTACGTAAGACGTTCAATCTTTCTGGAATAATTTACTTGTCCCAGGTTCTGGAGAAGAATAAATATTATGACATGATTGTGGTTCTGGAGGGTGTTTTCCTAGTAAATACATAGTAAATTTTCTTTAGCAATTGTATATTCCATCCATCTTCAATATTTTCATTGATTGGAAGAAAATCTTCCTCACAAAACGCATCACGATTGATGGAAATTATTCCAGTAGCTTTGAATCCATTTAGAGCCATCGAGGTAACCATTTTGTAAGCATTTCCAAAAACTTCAGCAATATCACTTTTTAAATTTTTTCCTAATTTCTAATCTTCATGTACTTTATCACATTCTTGATGGTAAGCAGTTTTTAATGCTTAAAAACAGTTAAATCCAGAGATTGTGTTCTATGAGACATGTGGTGCGTGAGTGATAATAAATGGGTGCCAGAATTTCGACAAAAATTGTACGAAGTTAAGGAAGGAATGAGTGGAATGATTATCAAGTATTAGAAGAATGGGTTGCTCTAGAGTAGCGCTAGCAAATGTTGCGTTGTGTTGCAACAATTCGGTAAACAGCTTTTCTGTAATCCATCCAGATTTCGAATCAGTATATCGAATTGGTATATCGTGCCTGCATAACCATTTTTTTCCAAACCATCTTTCATCCTCAATCTCTTAAAATAAATGTAGGCTGGATATATTACCCTCTAGTGTTTTTTTATATGTTATTTCGTACATTTTGATATGTTATATTGTTTTGATTGTCTATTATGTTTCCTCAATGTTATTTTTTTCTAATATTTCAATCCCAGCGATTTTCTCTAATATTCTTTTTCTGTATAAGTATTTCGTGAATTCCGTATTTAGTCCTTCGACTTTGATTTTTGTTTGTGTTTTCGCCGCTCTCTTGGGTGTGAAGAATTTCAGGATAATTCTTATTTTACATAACACTAGACTATGATCGCTACCTATATCTGCCTAGTTGGATGTATGGATGTATATCTCTGTCGGTTATAACATAATCTATCATAAATCTTTGTCCACGGGTGTTATTAAATGTATATTTGTGTTGGTCTTTGTGGTCAAAAAATGTGTTTTCAAGTTCGTTATTGGTGCAGAAGTTTATTATAAGTTCTCCATTTTCGTTTTTAACATCCTTGTTATGTTTTTGCTTAATTCTGGGTATTACTTAATTGCCTATTCGAGCATTAAAATCCCCCAATATTATCATTTTCCCTCTGGATTGATCTACCACTTATTGTAATTGGTCACAAAACGTTTCTATTGTTGTTTGAGGCTGGTTATTTTTTGGGCCGTATACTCCGATGATGTTCAGGTCTTCCTTCTCCATTCATTGCGTATATCTTTGCTGCTACTATTCGTTCTGATATGTATTGACACTCTTTGATGTGATTTTGGTACCTTTAGTGTATTAGTAAGGCTACACCTTATTTGGTCCTGTTTTCTTTTGCTACTCCACTGTAGATTAGTATGTATTCACCTAATTTTGCTTGTCATTTTCCCTTCTTTTTTGTTTCCTGTAAGACAAATATAAATGTCTATTTGTTTGTCTTTCAGCACTTGGGTTATTTCTTGGTCCCTTGAGTTGATCGATCTATTCCAATCTTTGTTTTTCGCTTATCCCTATTTCTTGCCCTAGTCGTCTTCATATATATTACCCTGATGCACTTAAGAAGCATGCTACGGTAGTATTTTGTCCCCTTTCTCTGCTTGTTGTCGCACCTGTTATAATGTATATGCCTGCGATATCCACATGTCCTGCCCACATTGTATATGTTCGCAAAAAATAGATCTGAGAGCATTTTTTTAGTACTTAAAGTAGGTTATAAATTAACATGACCTGAAATTGCTACTTCTTGGCCTTTCTCGTCCCAAGACGTTTTTTACACACCCTTTTTTATCGGCTATTGATCCCATTTCATGAAGTTGCTTACCTAGTCTTAATACGTCTGAGTGATAAAGTTGCTTATCTTGGCGAACTTGATTAGTTGATCAAGAGTTTACTTTATAATCGTAGTTTATTTGTAACGAAACATTAGACAAAATGCTGAAACAAGAAGAGAAATTCAGAACAATATTGTTATTTTAATCTTAATGCCCAATTATTTCTACATCTTTTTACTGTGGGAAGTTCTATTATTCTCAAACAATTAGAGATTACATAATACGCCAATCAGGATTACTCAGCAAATTGAACGACCACAAAATAAAACGATTGTGACCGTATAACGTGAACTAGAGCCGAGATTAGTTCTCCATATTTCTTATTTTGCTAACATTTCTCGAAACTTGTGGGAAATCGATCGGCGATCGGTTTGAATCCTAGGAGAGACCCTTTTGTGTTCATGTCGGCTCCCTGTAGAGCTAGAATTTCTCATGTTTGGATTTCGCTCGGAGATAGGAGAGAAAGCTGAATGTATTAGTAATAATTCTGGAGCTTTGTTGTCTTATCTTTCACTATGGAGTATAAAAACAATTTTGAAAGAATTTATTTATATCTTTCGTAGTTTACCTGTTCGTCGAACACACAAAATAACCGACCAAAATAAGTCAAGCTCAAAATGGCCGTAATAGCTTGTTCAAACTTAAAATAAAACGGGCAAAATCAGTAAAATGATAAAATCTGACGAACAAAAATAGAAGAAATACTTGCCTAATAAAAACTGAAACTATTGTTTCTGTTACTGCTTAAGACGGTATAGGCTTCACGAATGACAAGGTTATGTTAGGTGAAGAGTCGTCAATAGCCATAGACATATAATACAGATAGATTGAGTGCTACAATACAGTCGCGTTTCACCAGTGCGACAGATAAAAATGGAACTGGGCAGGGCACGTCGCGAGAACGAAGGACGGCAGATGGACAAAACGCATTCTTGAGTGGAGACCCAGACAAGATGCCTTTAGGAATAGAGGGCGACCACCAACAAGATGGACGGATGACATGAAACGGACACATCAAAATTGGATGCAGGCGGCTCAGGACAGAAATTTGTGGGGTGAACTACGGGAGGCCTATGTTCAGCAGTGGACGAGTATGGGCTGAATGATGAAGTCAGTCCTTCACGGGCTCTCCGAGAGCTCAGTGCTCTCGGGGCTCTGCTTTTCTTTTAGCCCTACCTTTACTCTGTGGCTGAGTTATTCTACAGTACTTTGTGTTTTATTTCGACCTTCATTTGGTTATGTAAGAAATAACTTGCCTTTATCAAGGCAGAGTCACCGAGAGAAGAGAACCTGATGGTTTATTTCGACTTAAATATTTTTTTGTCGTGTAAGAAATAACCCGTCTTTTTCAAGACGGGTACATCAGCTGAAATTTCTACAAGTCTGTACCCAGAAAATAGACTTGGGTAGAGGTGCTTTCGTAGACGTTCTCAAGCCCTCTACAGAGCACCCAGAGGCAGATGATTGACGTTAAAACTTTTTATCACGTCCCCTGCGGTGACAGTTTCAGGTTACCGTTTATATTATGAGCTAATCTATATAGTCTATAATAACTGCACTGTACGAGTAAGTGTTCTACTGTAAGGCGCTGATAATCACAATTTTCACAAGCAGGTGGGTTTTCGGAAGTCATCAGTATCCGTGAGCGATGCGTGTAGTGTCCTAGTCGGAGTCTTATGATATGAAGTTTGTCCTCTAGTCTTGTAGGTGTCTGTAATGATTTTACCATGGTTTATATATGCAGTTTTGTGTTTTGTCCATTTGCTAGATCTTGATGAAGTTGAATTTTTTCTAGGCTTAGGTCAGAGCAACTTGCTTTTCTTGCTGCGATGTCTGCAGACTCATTTCTACGTATCCCCACGTGAGATGGGGTCCAAAGAATAGTTATTGATGTTCCCCTGCTGTGGTTATGATGACAGATGTGTTGAATTGTTTGAACTATCTAACGAGTCTGAATTTTTCTTGAATTTTTGAACTATCTGAACGATTTAACGAGTATATGTTGTCAATGGTCTGAATTGAAGAAAGAGAATCAGTACATATAGCTAGAGATTTTGTATTAGGAGAAGTCATTTCAAGAGCTTTAAGGATACCATATAATTCTGCAGTGTGAATACTACAAGTGGTTGGTAGTCGGTGTAGAGCTAAGGTTATGTTTTCAGTACAGACCGCACGGCCAGTATTCTTTTCATCTTTAGATGCGTCGGTATAAAGAACTTGATTGTACTGTTTTGCATTTATTGCTTCTTAAAATAATTGCCTAAGGAGGTGGTTAGGAGTGTCTTTTTTTATGTCGAGTTAGACTAATATTGAAAGCAGGTACTTATTGGTCCATGAAGGATTATTGGAAGTACTGATGGGGGTAGTTATATTCAGGTCTATAGCTGCTAGCAAAGGATTTACTAATTGTGGTAGGGGGTAAATACATCTGTCTCTATTTTCAGGAGCGTGGTGGATGTTAATGAGCTTAAATACTGGGTTTTTTGGGTTCGCTGAAGCTCTAGTGAAATAGGAAGAGAGTAAAAGCTGACGTCGTATGAAAAGAGGAGCTTCCAAAGCTTCAATGCACATGCTTTTCGGCGGGGCTAGATCGAAATGCACCTAGGCATATACGTAAGGAGGTCGTTTGTATTGAATTTAGGGATTTAAGATAAGTTTTACAGGCGGTCATGTAAAGCATGCATCCATAATCTAATCTAGAGCGAATAAGAGCTCTATAGATTCTCAGTAACATATTTTCTTTAGCTCCCCATTGATGATGTGCAGGTGTTTTCAATATGTTTAGTTTACCAGCACAGTTGTCCTTTAGATTTTTTAAGTGTATTTTCCAGTTTATTCATCTCTATTGTTTTTAGTAATCGTCTCGTTTTAGATGTGTCAGTTCTTGTCTCCGCCGTGTATGTTAATATAGGTTGCTGCTTTATAGATTTTTGTTTTTGTGTCTTGTTTTAGGTGTCTGTTATTCCAGATTGTGTCATTAAGAGATCCGCCGCTTTACTTGCTTTTAAGCTTTGTTGTCGTACTTCTTCTTCAACATCTCCGTAACTAGTTATATCTATTCAAGATATCTAAACCTTTCTAAAGATCGCGATTGATGAATTCATTGGGCATGTACCACGGTGCATTTGTGATAATGCGAAAGGTCTTCGATTGTAATCTCTCCAGTATGTCGATATTGGATCTTGACACAGATCCCCACAGTTGGATCCCATAGCTCCATATTGGCTTTATCACTGACTTGTATACTAGGATTTTATTGTACAAATTCAGTTGTGATCTTTTTCCTTTTAGCGTGTTTTTAACACGCGCCCATTAATAGAGTAAGGAAGACACGGATTATTTTTACCCATGTGAAGAACTACACATTTGTCCACATTAAGAGGCAGCATCCAAGCAGAGCACCATTCCGATATGCAATCAAGGTCATCTTGTAGTGATTGGAAATTTACGGAGGGATCAGAAAATAGTTTCGTGTCATCTGCATAGAAAGCTTTGTTGCATTTAATGTGAAATTGTGATCACTTGAGTAGCTATGAATAAAGTGGGCCCAAAACTGATCCTTGCGGTACCCCACTTAAAACCGTTCTCTCAACTGAGAAAGAGTCCCCAACACTAACACAAAACTTTCTATCTGTTAAATACGCGTCGATCCATTTCAGTAATTGACCATGGATACCATGGTGTTCCAATTTATGTAATAGTAATCGCTTTGGAACTCGATCAAAATAATGTCTACCGGGGCTTTTCTGTCTAATGCTCTTGACCATTCATTGACACACCAGAGAAGATTTGTCATTGTAGAACGTCCTTTGATAAAACCATGCTGCTGTTCTGGTATGACCAGTTCATTTTGCAGAAAATCAGAAATTGTCTCGGCAATAATAGATTCCATTATCTTAGATATTATAGGTGTTAAGCTGATAGGGCGATAGTTATTAGGATCTAATTTATCCTCTTTTTTAAAAATCGGTGTTACGATGCGGTTTTCCATATAGGAGGCAAAATATGTGTGGTGAATAATAAGGACATAATCATCATCAATCAAGCTAAAGCATCTGAACATTTCTTTAAAAATAAAGAAGATATTAAGTCGAGGCCAGGAGACGAATTATTTTTTAGGCTTTGAAGATGATGTTTAACTTTTTCAGGAGTAATGATTATATTTTTAAGGGAAGAAGAAACTCATGACGAAGTAATATTAGGCAGCTGATGATTAGTGGGTTCGACAGAGAAAACCTTAGAGAAAGTACTGGCGAGGACTTCGGCATTCTCATAGTTATTTTGGGATATATCCTCATTATCATTTTCCAGTAAAGGTATAGAAACTTTTGTTGTCAACGAAGATCTAATATACTTATACAATTTTTTACAGTTATTACTAATGCCTATACTCTCTAGGCAACACGAGCTTCATGTAGAGATTTCTTTAAATCTTTGGCAAAGTCTCGATGAATTAGTAAATCCTCGTAGCTATTTGTACGTCTATATTTGTTCCACAACTTTCTTTTATACTTTATCAGATATATTAATTCCCATTAATCAGGTTTAGTTTTTTGTATATGGTTTTTTTTAAGGTATTTTGGTTTTTGCCGAAATTAAGAACGTATAAGAACTTATCCCCAGAATACAACTGGAACCTTATGTCGCCGAAAACATCATTCCAATCAATATCAGCCAGTTGGCGATTGTACTATTCTCTGACTGGTATTTTTTTTTTCGCTAATAGCCATATAGGCTGAGGCCAGTTTGTAAATAAAAAAATGTTAATTTAACCCTACAAATAAAGAAAAATGTTTGTCCGCTACCTCTTGCGTCTACTGAATCTTAGTTCTATTCTCCTAAATATGTAATACATTGTGGTTTATACGACCCTAAAACCAATACTAATATATTTCTCATTATTTCCAGCTTAAGAATAGACACCGGATACGTGAGCGCGGAGAGTTCGATAGAAGAGAGCGAAGAGGAAAAAGAAATCGCGCATCACATTTTAGAGCCGGCGGTACATCATACAGGATGTTCGATAAATGGACCGAGGAAGTGCCTGGCATGGGCCTGCAAGGCTTGTAAAAAGAAGACCGTTGCAATAGATCGAAGGAAAGCGGCCACTCTTCGAGAACGTAGGAGACTTAGAAAGGTAAATTAGATTTACTAATAGGTTTATCCGTTTCTACGAGGGTTGGAAGGTAATTTACTGAAGGTGGGTCCTCGTGTGTCAAACATATTTAAATTCAAATTCTTATCGACCTTTCCGTCCATATTATTACGTAAATGCGGCATGTCGGTTAAAAATAAAAATACAAAAATCGGATATCAAAAGGAATATATGAATAAAAATGCAAAATTATTATATCTTATGTGTCTGGTAGAAATAAACGGAAGATTTGTTCCACAATTTAGGATGGCGATCTTACTACCATTTGAAGCGTACTAAGTAATGTAATTAATTCCAATTCGAAGGACCACCCACTAACGTGGAAATAAGAACACAAGCATTAAACAACTCGTAATTTAATGATTAACTTTATTACTATAACTAAGTTAAGATCTAGCCAGTTTCAAAGTTTTATATCTAAACCGCCGATCACTGTCCAATTTACACAAGTCCGAAACATTACACGATAGCACTGTTACAGTTTAAATATGTTACTAATAAAATTGTCACATGAACCAAGATGTTTTCTTCAGTATTAATATACTTGATTAATAATGAGCGTTTGTAAAACATGTCGCTTTTAAACTGTAAGCTATATAACAATAACTAGGTATACTCAATACGCGAGAGTCTAAAAATCTTAAATCAGAAATGCGTCAACCCCTTTGATCGAGTGCTAAGCTACACTGACTAATACGCGAGAGTTGAAAACTCTAACCAAGACGAGACCAGCTAAGCTGGGATACTATGTGGCACTGACTACGTGACTACTTTGAAATTACAGCTGCCTCACATATCAGGAGTCAATGGAAATTTTTTCGAAATTTCTATTATAGTCCTTTTCCATCATATTGATAGCACATTATGTATGCAAATCCTCAACAGGTCAAAAAACCATAGGCGTCACCCTATACTTGTTTTGAAATAAATAAAAAAGTTAATATTTTAAGATGCCGTCAACAATTCATTATCTTTTAAAAAATCTTCTGTAAAATAAGTGTCCACTAATCTCACTATTTCACAAGAGCAAACTGGATTTACCAAAGGTAGAGGCACTCAAGAACACCTGCTGAATATAACACAGATAATCGAGAAATCTAGGGAATTCAACATCCCACTATACATCTGTTTTATAGATTACCGTAAAGCGTTCGACAGGGTCAAGTGGAGACACTTATGGCGAATACTAAAAGAAGTAGGCGTACCACAACATCTAATTACGCTTATAACTGAACTATATGAACACACTACTGGATCAGTTAAAGTACTTGACATACTTTCGAACAAGTTTCATCCAGAACGGGGTGTCAAACAAGGATGTATACTATCTCCACAATTATTCAACATATATGGGGAGTATATTATGCGAAGAGCACTTGAAGGATGGGAAAAGGGCATCTCAATAAATGGTCATAAACTAAACAACCTACGTTTCGCAGATGACATAGCCCTTCTTGCAAATAGTCAAGGAGAGCTGATAGAACTTATACGACTGATCGAAAACGAAAGTCAAATATTTGGTCTGCAATTAAACATATCAAAGACAAAGATCATGATAGTGGATAGACTACACAACAATCATCCACACATAACCACAATTGACCGGTTCGAGGTTGTGAGCTCATACTTATATCTGGGGTCATTAATCACAAACGCAGGGTCATTACAAGAAGAGATTAAACGTAGATGTGATCTAGCAAAAGTTGCCACAGCAAAAATGACCAAAATATGGAAGGACTGTCAAATTTCAAGAGCGATAAAGATGAGGTTGATCAACTGCTTAATATTCCCAATACTGACCTACGGATGTGAATCTTGGACTCTGAGACAATCGGAGAGAAGAAAGATAGACGCCACTAAAATGTTCTGTTGGAGACGAATGTTACGAATTCCTTGGACCGACCGTAGAACAAATAATTCAATTTTAAGAGAGCTAAAAGTTAGCCAACGACTCTCTAGTAAAGTCCATCTCCAACAATTAAAATATTTTGGGCATGTTATGAGAGCAAACACAGAAAACATGGAAAGACTCATAATACAAGGAAAGGTAGAAGGCCGAAGATCACGAGGAAGATCCCCAACAAGATGGATAGATCAAATTACAGGAATATGCCAAAGACCTATGCATGAATTAAAAGAAATGACCAAAGACAGAGATCTCTGGAGACGGACAATACACGACATCACGTCGACCACTACACTCCCCCTGGGGGGTCAGGATTGAAGAGAGAGAGAATCTCACTATACCTTTTTTGTGCATAAAAAACGTCGGTATATATGCCACACGATTATTGTTAATTATACACGGGTGATTAATGAGAGAATTCAATATTTCACGAAATAAATTAATGTAAATAGTAATTTAAAGGTGATTATTGTTTTCTATACAAGTTATCGCCTGACACAAAAAGAATACCTTCTTTGAACGATTACCTGGAATTACTGATAGGTATCCATATGTCCATCATTCATATTGTGTTTATAATTAGATTAATTGGTACGAAGTGAACAACTATAATACATGGGATAAATGTCCATTTGTTAATGATGTCAAAGAGAGTGGATTCTAATGAAAAATTATGTTTTAATTTGCACTTATGGGTAGTCCACTCAGCCCCATAATAACAACTATCATTTTGGATCATTTACTTGATAGTGTAATTCCACAATTGTCTTTCTCTTGCCCTTCATTACAAAATTTGTAGACGACCTTATTTGTTCTGTTTCTTCTTCACAAATTAAAAATACCTTAAATATTTTTAATTCTTTGTTAAAGAATGTTAATGTTGAAATCACAAAAATGTGCAAAAAGTTTACTGTTACTACTCCCAGGTTTCCCCTAAAACCTCCAACCCCCTCGTAGTACAAAAAGAAACGGAAAAATTGATTTACCAAGAATTTGTACATCTTAGAAAAAAATATTTTAAATTCAAAATGTAGCTGGGACATTTTTTAACAAAAATGTTTATTATTAGCACTTTTTGTTTTAAAGGTGAAGAGCGCAGCTTTCTTATGCAATTTTTAAATTTTGCCGCAAATAAAGTCAGTTTCAGATACCACTGCTCATGATTCAACGTTTTTCTTTTATAAGAAACGTTTTGCCAAGTCTTTTCCTACAAAGAACATAAAAACTGTGGTATAATCATTTCCAAATCGGGTATAACTTTGTGTTGTATGAATTAGTACCTCTGGAACTTTTAATCTCTAGTTATCCAAGTCCTTCAATAAATAAATAATATAGACTTTTCAAAATGAAAAAGGAGCCATTAACTTAATTTAATGTATATTGTTTATTGCGGTAGGTGGGAACTTACATAATGTACGTCCACTAAGTAGACACATCCACAGTTTTTTTTATAAATGAAAGAAAAAAAAAGTTTTTTTATCTTCGTCTTTCTTGTATTCAATAAATACGCAAAACTTGATAACATTTTGGAATCACATTTATTTCGTTGTTAAAAATTATTGGTCGATTTTGGTGTGCTTGGAAGGCCCCATAGGCGCAGAGTGTGTCTCACAGAGATTCAAATTGCTAGGTCAGTAACTTTAATTCAAGTAGGTTACAAGACGCTGTACAGCAGAAATGTTAAATGTTACTCATGCTGTGATAAGTAAAGTCTGGCCCAGACATAACATGTATGAAGTTATTAGAGGATAACCTTTTACGCATCGTGCAATAGCGACTACAGCTAGAGAGAATCGACTTTTACAAGTATGGACCGTCAGAAATCGTCGAAGGACCTCTCTAACGCTTGAAAATGAGTTTTGTAGAAGCTACGGGTACAAGAAATACTCAAATTATACGTTATCAGCTTTACGAACATGGGTTGAATGCAAGAAGTTCAGCTATAGTACTTCCTTTAGCCAGACGCTTGTTTGCAGAATAACTCATGAATTGGACAATGTAGTAATATGATGTTTACGGACGACTCCACATATTTTTTAAATAATGTTAATGGACGTGTTAGAGTCTGGAGAAGACCAGGTGAGAGCTTTTAGGATCCCACAACTCATGAAACTTAAAGTTTTGGTAGAGATTCAATTATGGTTTGGGGTGGGATAACTTTAAATTGCCGCTCTGACCTAGTAGTTATTCGTTGAGGGAAGATGACGGCAGAGCGGTACATTAACGAAGTTCTTAAACCACATGTTGCCCTATTTGTTGAAAATATGGATCCAGAATTTATCCTTCAGCAAGACAATGCAAGATCGCATGTGGCCAGGATAGTGCAAAATTATTTGACTACCCATAATATTCAGGTTAAGTAGTGGCTAACGAGGAGTCCAGATTTAAATCTCATTAAACACATTTGGGTTACACTCGGGAAGAGCTTGAATGATCATCAGCCACTAAGAAACCGATAACATGTCAAGGAAGTTCTCGTGGAAGAGTGGAACAACAACTAGATCTAGAAACTATTCGAAATAAATGTGATTGAAAGCATGCCTGGGACTTGTGCAGGAGTTTGGCAAGTTAAAAAAGCCCATAAAGGCTATAAGTTTTGTTTTAAAATAATTGTTAGCAAGGTTGTTATTTAAATTAATACAATTTTTCACATTTGGCACTTTTAATTTTTTTCAGAAGAAAATTTACAGTTCAGTAACAAAAACCTTAAATGTAATTAAATAAAAATACTATAATAGAAAAAATAGCCGAAAAAAAAGACCATATTTTTTCCGGTTGTTACATTTATAGTTTCTCCAACCCTGTATACAATTCGAAAATGTTTTATAACGTTCGAGTCTCTTAAAAATAAAATAAAAGTATATGTGCTGGTGGATATCCATTAGCTAATAAAAAAGTATACGCTCTTCGAATAAGTGCTGGAAAAGTTTGGAATACGCTTTGATGATGTTCGCTAAACTTTGCGACAATCCACGAGAGACGTTGTTTTAACTTCTTTTTAAGTGACTCACAATTTTTTCAACTCTAACCGACAACAGTCCAGAAATTCGAACGACAAATTTAATTAGAGATAATTTAATTAAAAATTTACACTTAATTTGTATATTTATGTATTTAAATGGATGAAGTTTCTATAAATATTTATATTGCAATTAAAACTTAAACTTTCTGTATTTGCCTTCCTCATCGTGTACAAGATCCAAATGGAACAGAAATGAGTTTCGATATTTATCATTATTCGTATATATAATGATTGGTGGGCGATATGCTCTTAAGTATGTATATGAGAAATTAGAAAATTAACTCAATTTTTTGTTTCAAAATGTTTTTTAAATTATTCTTCGTTGTAGTTGTCTATATTCTGTTTTATTTAATTTAATAAGCCGACGTTGTTTCATCAATTTCAAGATATCTTCTATCATCCATTTACTTTTCTTGATTAAGTTACTTCTATAATGATTGTATACCATTTTTGGATATTGCTAGAAAGGTCACCAATGGATATACTGCGAACGGCAACCAGATGGTTGGTGGAAAGCGAGTCGTGGGTTCAAAACTAGCTTTCGGAATCGGTATGGGAAGATACACGGGATCGATAGAGAAATAAATAGAGAGAAATGTATGGAAGGTTACCATAGACAATTAGATAAAGATAGAAAAAGGGCGCTAGGCGCTACTTAACATTGTGTGAATAAAAGGGGAAAACTAAGAAACCTTAGGTGTCGAAGAAGTATAAGAAACAATAAACTATATGGAGAAAATGCCGGCGTTTAAGGTGGAATTAATTCCGCGTGCTTTTGATTTTCTACTTATACCGCCTTCATTCTCTGAGGTAGTTGAGTGGACTGTATTATATATATATATATATATATATATATATATATATATATATATATATACGGATATATTGGGTTTAGTAGTCAATATATTGGCCTTTAAGTAAAACTCTTTTAGGTTTGCTAAGCTTTCGAGTTTATTTTACTCTTTTTCAAAACATACTAAAAATTAACATAAAAAATTTACATTAGAAAAATGAAGTTCTTATGTCTTAAATAGGCTTACCCTTGTGAGAATTGTCTTTTAAAATTAGCAAAATTTTTACATTTTGTCATTATGTCATTAACATAATGACATTAAATTTGATTTACTTTTTATTTATGTCAAAACTTATTATTAATTTAATAACTCATATTTATCAAATTTGCAATGAAGGTTTGCATAAACATAGACACTTCTTCTGTCAAACTCACCTAAAATAAATATAAAAAATAGAAGAGATATGGAAACCTTAGTAATAAGTTTTGACAGAAATAAAAAGTAAATCAAATTTAATGTCATTATGTTAATGACATAATGACAAAATGTAAAATTTTGCTAATTTTAAAAGACAATTCTCACAAGGGTAAGCCTATTTAAGACATAAGAACTTCATTTTTCTAATGTAAATTTTTTATGTTAATTTTTAGTATGTTTTGAAAAAGAGTAAAATAAACTCGAAAGCTTAGCAAACCTAAAAGAGTTTTACTTAAAGGCCAATATATTGACTACTAAACCCAATATATCCGTATATATTACTCACATAGTCACTAAAGCCCTTTCTAAGAATATATATATATATATATATATATATATATATATATACATATACATATACATATACATATATATATATTTATATATATGTGTGTGTGTGTGTGTGTGTGTGTGTGTGTGTGTGTGTATGTGAAGTGTTGTGGTTCCCTCAAAAATTTAACAAGCTGTCCCCAAAAGAAAATCTCCCTTTCTCTCATTTCTGCGAAAGACACGTACAGAAACTTTCTACTCGGAAATTTATTGATAAAAAAAACCATATACTTTCAATTATATTGAATTGAATTGAATTTTTCTATTCAAGCAGATGTTCTGCTTCAGAAGCAGAAATGTTCTGAGGTACTGTTAAAGAACCTTAGAACATTTTTGTTTATTTTTGTAATGAGTCTGGTATTAATCCTCCATTTATCATTTGTTTTTGCTTTCAGGTAAACGAAGCATTCGAAATGTTGAAGAAGAGAACCTGCAACAATCCCGGCCAAAGGCTACCCAAAGTAGAAATCCTAAGAGGTGCAATAGAATACATAGAATACCTAGAAGAAATTTTACAAGGTTCCAAATCTTCTATGGATAGCAGGAGTCCAATAGTTCCCAAAAATGAATATATGGTAAGTTTGTTACTAAAATTAAAAATTACAGTTTTCTCTCACTATATATTAAATCTAGAGCTAAGATTAACACTATTACAGGATTTAATCTCACCAATCTTCAGGATTGAACCACGTTGATTGTCATTTACGTTGCTCGACATCCTCTACACTGATCACTTATGAAAGCATTATATATATATATATATATATATATATATATATATATATATATATATATATATATATATTATATATATACGGATATATTGGGTTTTAGTAGTCAATATATTGGCCTTTAAGTAAAACTCTTTTAGGTTTGCTAAGCTTTCGAGTTTATTTTACTCTTTTTCAAAACATACTAAAAATTAACTTAAAAAATTTACATTAGAAAAATGAAGTTCTTATGTCTTCAATAGGCTTACCCTTGTGAGAATTGTCTTTTAAAATTAGCAAAATTTTACATTTTGTCATTATGTCATTAACATAATGACATTAAATTTGATTTACTTTTTATTTCTGTCAAAACTTATTACTAAGGTTTCCATATCTCTTCTATTTTTTATATTTATTTTAGGTGAGTTTGACAGAGGAAGTGTCTATGTTTATGCAAACCTTCATTGCAAATTTTGATATAATATTACAGTTATTAAACAAGCAACAGAGTTTATGTTACTAAGTATTTAAGAAAGAAAAAATACAAATAAAAATAAATTTTATCTCATTTAATAACTGGGGAATAGTGCCCTGGGGGGAGTAAACCCCCAGGGCACTATTCCGACACTGTTACTCACAAATTTTAAGGCCTCAAAATGGAGGTAGCATAAAAAATTGACACAGGAAAATTCTAGGTGCGCTACTGTAGATATCTAAATTATATAAAAAAAACTATTTTCTATTGACCTCTCAAAAAGCAATTAGGCACATTTGCTTACCTACCTTAATATCATGTAATTTTCATATCTTTTAGATAAATATCAAATATAAAATTAATATATCACCACACTAGAAATACGTTTCAGTTATTATTAAATAAACGTGAAGAAATGAAAGAATATCGTTCGATTAAATTAATACGATGTTATTAAAAATGTGTTATTGATTTGGATGACCAAATTCCGTTTCGTGTTCATCATCCTCGAAGTTTTCCAAACATCCTGCCACATCAACTCAAAATATGATCAATCACGACGTTTTTACAACTTCTGGTTTCCTCTTAGAACATCATATCAATATCCAACCTGCTTAATGTCTTATTAATTTCGACGTTTTGTCAGGTTATCCTCGATTATACAAATTCCCAATTTACTCGTTTCTAACAGCCTAATAAATTTTTCAAAATTGACACAGAACTAATAGGCGTCTTTGAAGTAGCATCTCTAAATTGCTTTAAATATTTCATCTCCTCTGGTATATAAATATGTCTAAAAATAAACAGCGAAATAAAAAAAAACCGTGTAAATACTATTTTATACGAGCTCCTTAATAAAAGATCGTAGTTGGTACTGAAAGATTTATTGACCCGGTGTCAACATATGCACTCAACATGTGGAAAGATATTCATACCATTTGGAGCGTTTCTTTTTTAATTTTTAAAATAACTTACTAGTAAATTATATAATACCACATCGGGGGAAAAGATAATGATACATAAAAAGTCCTAGTTAATTATAGTTTTTGTAGTTAATACAACAATCTGCTTGTTCTTTAGGTACCGTCTCTAATGGAGGTTGGCAATGGTCTGCAATTTCATCTCTATATTGGGCCTTTCTTATTATTTGAAGACCTAGTCCTGTCCATTCCTTGATGTTACGCAGTCGTAAATCATTTGTTGTGGTATTTGAGAGTATACAACCTTGTCTAACTCCTCTTTGGATTTTTATGGTTATTTTTTCTAGTGGTAATCTCTTTGGAAAAGAAAAAACCTTACCTGAAATACATGTCAACCAAAACACAAGAGACATACCATAATTAAAAACAATTAGACACGAAACAGAAGCACTTGTCAGAAAAATAAAAAATTATCACTAGGAACGCTTTCTGAAAGAAATGGAACATGATTTTTACAGTCTGCAAAAGGAAATATGGCGCTTAGTAGGAGGTTAAAGAACGGAGGTGAAGGACCTGTTAGAACCAAAACACATAGAAAAGGATACGTGGATTGGACGGGATCAGTATGAACATACCGAGTGAAATAATAAAACTCTTCGAAAGTTCAGGAAAAATATCTCTCCTTCAGTCTGTTTAATAAAATTTATGAAAGCTAACGGCTAACGGACCAACGGATTGGCGCTGTCGACTTTTTTGACGATACCTAAAAAAGTAAATGCAAAAAGGTGTAGTGACTACCGAACCATCAGCTTGATGAGTCATGTTTTAAAGATATTTCTACTAAGTTTGCACTTTAGGATGTACAAAAATAGAACAACACTTGGTGACACACAGTTTGGATTCCGCAATAACCTTGGAACAGAGAAGCACTATTTAATATTCAGGTTATGTACAGAGATGCAGAGATGTCGGACATCTAGTTTATATGTGTTTTATTGACTTTGAGAAAGCATTTGATCGAGTAAAACATACTGAAATGATAGCCATTCTTCAGCAGGTAAGTATTGATGATAAAGACTACGCATTATTAAAAATCTTTACTGGCATCAACGTGCAAACATCAGGATTGGCCGGGACACTTCTGAAGAGCTTCAAATACGAAGAGGAGTAAGGCAGGGCTGCATTTTGTCCCCGCTACTATTTAACATCTATGAGTTCGTTTTCAATAAAGCAGTGATAATATTCAATGTGGTATAAAAATGAATGGCGTCAATATTAATAATTTGAGATATGCGGATGACACAGTGTTAATTGCAAGCAATTACGAAGAACTTCAACATCTAATTAATAGGATTACCACAACGTGTGATGAATATGGCCTTAAGCTAAACACCGCAAAGACAAAGGTGATGGTCGTCAGTAAAACGCCAATACAACCGGAAGTAGTAACAGCTTATGGTGAACAACTGGAGAGAACTAACAGTATCACTTACCTTGGTTGTAATCTAACTGAGAACTGGGACATGAGCAAAGAAATTAGAATACGGATAGAGAAGGCCAGAGCTGCATTCTTTAAGATGAAGAAATTGTTATGTGAAAACAATATTACTTTAAGTCTGAAAATTAGATTAGTGAGATGTTATGTGTTTTCTACTCTTTTGTATGGTGTCGAAGGTTGGACTTTGACGGATACACTTCTCAAGAAACTGGAAGCCTTTGAAATCTGAGTGTATCGGAGAATCCTACGAATAAGTTGGGTGGATAGAGTTCGTAACGAAGTTGTTTTGCATCGGATGGGAAAAGTTACGGAAAGTCGTCAAAACAGTTAAAAATCGCAAACTTGAATATTTTGGCCATGTTATGCGCCACCCAGAGAGATATAATATACTCCATTTAATAATACAAGGCAAGGTAGACGGAAGAAGTGGGCCAGGTCGAAGAAGAACGTCATAGCTTAGAAACCTGAGAGATTGGTTTAACAGATCCTCTGCATCTCTTTTCCGAGCTGCCGTTAACAAAATTACTATAGCCAATTTGATAGCGAACGCTCGATAATCGAGTACAGCACATGAAGAAGAAGAGGAAGAACAAACGATAATTGCCAGAAATTATTACAAATGACGAACTTAATATAAACGTATAGGAAGTTCGGAAAATACCTGAAAAGTTGAAGAACAGAAAAGCAGCAGGTAAAGACGGGATACCAAACGAATTACTGAAATATTGGGGAGCAGCAATGACAGAACAATTAACAACTGTAATTAAATTAATAAAATTATAAAATACAATAAAATACCGGAAGAAAATAGAACGAGCAAACTAATTCCACTATTCAAACAAGGAGATAAAAACAGCCAAAATCTACAGAGATATAAACTTAAATTAGTTAAATAAGTTATATTGTGGCTAAACACCCCGTACGGGGTTACGCCGCTTAAGCTCTCTAGATCGATTTTACGAGGTAGATCAGTCCTCATTTTCTTTATTTAATTTTTCTTGTTATTTTTTTCCACTGTTTCCTATCTCTGGTTTTTTCTCTCCATTGTCGTACGCCCACCCTGTTGAGATCGTTTGTTACTTCTTGTAGCCATGTAGATCTTGGTCTTCCACGTCTTCGTTTACCAGATGGTGTCTATTCCAATATTGAGAATATTGTCGTAGATGGTCCTAATCTCCATATATGTCCTAGCCATATTGCCCTTTGCTGTTTTATTTTACTAATTATATCCTCTTTAATTTCGTTTAGTAGTTCATGATTCATTCTTTGTCTATATTGGTTTTCATTAATTTTTATTGGTCCTAATATTGCTCTTAGTATTTTCCTTTCTAGTATTCTAAGGTCCTCTTGTTTTTTTGTCATGCTAAGGGTTTCGGCAGCATACATCATAGTCGGTCGAATTATTGTTTTATATATTTTCATTTTCGATTTTTTGCTCAATAATTTATTTTTTAGAAGCTTTTTATTTGCATAGTATGTCTTATTTGCTGTAATTATCCTTTCTTTAATTTTTGTTTTCCTTTCTCCATTGTTTGCTAATAATATTCCCAAATACTTAAACTTTTCTACTTCTTCAAATATATATTCTCCCAGTCTAACCTTTTTGTTTTCATATTTTTTGTCAAATCTCATTATTTTTGTTTTTTCTTGATTTATTACTAATTCCATTACTTTCCCTTCTGCTACCAATTCTTTTAACATACTTTCGTTCTAAGTTCTAAGACTATTATTTGTCCCTCTCTCGTTCTAAGTGTACCTTTGTTGATTTTTCTGACTATATATTCCAGGGCAAGATTAAACAGAGTTGCAGATAATGAATCTCCTTGACGTACACCTTTATTTATAACAAATTCTTCTGTGTCTCCTTCTTCTGTTTTTACAGTTACTACGGTTTTGCTCATTGTCATTTTTATTAATCGTCTTAATTTGTTGTGTATTCTCATTTCTCTCATAGCTGTAAGTAATTTCGCTC